CCTTTTCGGATGCTACTCGAACCGTTGCTTTTTGCTTAAGAATATCATTCACTAATGCGCAACGTCTATCGATTATCGGCAAGGCTAGCAAAAGGCGCTTTTTTTTTACAGTTTTCCTGCAGTTTTCGGGATTTTCCGTCTTCTGCACTGACTTTGCCTTTTTTCTTTGAACATCAAGCAAAAATAAAAAAACGAAATTCTGAAGCACAATTCTGTATCATTATCCATCCTTAATCCGCGGTGCCAAGAAGTACGTAATTTTTTCTCAGTGCCAATCCAATCCGGTCCGAAAAATCCAGGAAAATCAGGAAAAGAAGAAAGCGTGATGAACGAACTATATCATTCTCTCATCAGAATCCAGCGCATCACGATCCGATAAAATATGATCAGGCGGTAGGCCATCCGCATATCGCTTCCACATCTTATGCAACAGGCGCTCCATATCCGCACAGTACTGTCGAACGTTAAATAGTGTTGATGTTGTCCGAGCCTTCCATACTTTTGCTCGAATTTGACTCAAACTAAATCAAAAAAGCAAACCAATGAGGGTTTAATTGACACTTAAAAATTTGTCAAAGGCTACTAAATGAGTCAAGACAAAAGCGTTGGGAAGAAGTAACGCGCTCAGACAAGGAGGAACATTCTCCGACTAGAAGATACGGCGAAAAAACAACAGAAAATTCTCTCTTCGCAGTGATTTTTCCTGAGAAGCGGTGGCAATCGGAAGTATCCCGAGTGGTAGCAAAAGCAGGCAGTTGCTGATAAGGCTGTCATTGGGGTTTCTATCGCGAGCTGCTTAGAAGCAGGTTAATCGCAGTACAGATGAATTCAGCAAGCTTTTTAAAAAAATCTAGCATCTTTACAAAAAATAAGCAAAATCTGCCGTAAAACTTGAGTTTTTTTAAAGATGTGCATGAAATTGAAATTTTATGGATATACAACAACTTACTATTCACGATCCGTGCCCAATTTCACAGCAATTCGAACATAATCCTCACGATCTTTGGCAACCAATTCCGGTACACCAAGCGCGTACAGCTGACTTGACGCAATACGTGACGCCAGTGTTTCCACTGTAAACGTACACCTTTTCAACGGCGCTTAACAGTAATTAGAACATGTTCTGCCTAATAACTTCCCATTATTAGCAGTTATCCCTTGAATTTCAACTGATTCCAGCACAATATGATGAATTTAACAGTAATACAACAAAACCTAATGCTTTTTTTAATACCCTCTTAACCTGAGTAGCCCTTCAAGTAAAAGTACCAGACAAATGTGAGCAAGTTCAAAAAGTGAATCAAAAAAGAGCAAAATTCGTCAAAAAATGCTAAAATGGGTTGGATGATAAGTAGCCGCCATTAGAAGGCCAACTCATAAGAATGGCTGGAACCGGTTAAACTGAAAAAAAAAAATCAGCGACCTTTGGTCGGCCGAATCGTGATTTTTGAACTAAACGGCCACTCCAGCCCAAACCGTTGAAAATACGTTCAAAAAAAACAAGTAGGTTCAAAATAATGATGAGTTAATAACTGAAACGTTTTAAAATAAGTACGAAAAGATTATGCATCAACCCTGCCAAAAAGGCTCCAGAATAATCCTACGACAAGTTATCCCAGTGAAATGAAAACATACGTGGCATAGTGATCATTGGAGTTCCAGTCCAAAGAATATCCATTCCAGTCGTATGTCCGTTACAAAGTGGAGTATCCAAGCAAACATCGGCAAGTTGTCCACGACGTACATGCTCCTCTTTTGCAGCAACATTCGAGAAAACCACGCGACGTGTATCAATGCCACGTTCCGCACAAAAACGAATCACATTCGGCTCACCGTGATACGGAAATCGTAACAGCCATAACACACTTCCTGGCACCTACAACGACAAAATTAATACCATTTTGGCTCAATTAATCGCGTACAGCTCGCGAAAAGTCGGGAAAAAAGTCACCACAGAGAACAAGATGTGTACTGCCTATGAGCGTCAACCAAGAATCCACTGCGATCGAAGTAATATAAGCGCTAGAGATCTAAATCCAATGGAATTCTACTTTAAAAGGCAGATACACAGTAAATTTGCTGTCAAGCTGACCCTGTGGTCACCAGTTCCAATGGTCTGGTGGGTTTATGCTCGCGTCTAGACGTGAACGGGAGTGGTTCGACTCCTTGCCGGCACACAACAGTTTTTGAATCCCGTTTACAACAGCACCACAACTGTTTCAGCAGCATCTCACAAGCGAGCAAATTAATGTAAGTGTTCAACATCTGAACCTGATCAAATTGCGGAATGCTTTTAAAATTAATTTTTTACCAATTTCAGGATATCACACCACATCGACAGTGTTGGTGGGTCAATTTTGTAAAGTTGATTGAAATTGCAAAACACAATAGCATCGTCCGGTAATCCATACTGCTGACGTGAGGTGATCAGAATGGCATGTGGCACCTCTTCACCTGTTGCTCCTTTTAAATGAGTCT